CTGGTTGTCGGCCAGACAAAGTTATATGGTGATACCTCGCTGCAGGAATTAAACAAAGCCTTACGCAATAGTCGGGTGGACACAAGTTCTATGTCTAACCTGTTGAGTTCAGCCCCCACGACGTGAAGCGTCATAATATGTCACGTCTGACTTCAAGGGTAGCAGCGAGTTGTCCACGCGCGCCCATTCTTAGCCCAGTGCCCTTCGCCTCAAGGACTGGTCGCAGCAACGTCATTGAGAGCACCCTTACCGTCAGAGCGCAACACATTGGCGGGTCCGAATTGCATCCAGCTCTGATGGTACGCATCTAGGAAGCTGGTCATAGTTTTGTCTGGCATCTCGACTCCAGCATCGCACCGAATGCAGCGATTGACCATGAAATACCTTATGTTCCCGTTTGTAGAACACTTAGTCGCATTCGACTTCATCATTGAATTTGCCAGGTAGTGCGGTAGACGACATTATAATCTTCCCAGGCTTCTCCCAAGCCCCACACCCCCGGCATGCATCAGAGACGCCGCTGATCACGTCGTAAATTACTTTTGTCTCTACCTCTACCCGTTGACCTTAACACACGTCGGACCGCACGTCGCACCCTTCGAACTGGTTTCTCCATAAAACGTCTCCATCGGCGCTCACGTCTCTGATAGACCAAGAATATCCATTGCGCGCGATGCTCCTCGGCGAGGCGCACAGGCATAACAGAAAAGTCTAAGTTGCAAATCCCTTCATCTGACGAAGCGTCGGCATCGGCGCCTGAGTCAAAGTCGGGCTCTGCGGGTTGCCCCGCCGAGCCCACTAAAAGTGGTGGCTCGGGCAGGGCAGGGGTTGTCGTTGCCGACGGCCCCTGACATTGGGCCCGGGAGTCTTGCGACCCAGGGGGCTGGCCACCTTGTTGGCTCAATAAAGTGGTGGCCTCGTTTGGTTGTGGATCATCGTTCTAGATGGCGCTGGCCGGTCGCCCCGCACGAGTGCCACCATGAAAAACACCAGCGCGGCGGCCGCGGTTAAACACACCACCAATCTCACCAGGGGTTCGCTCAGCGATGTGACCGTAAGCCCTGATACGCCCCAGTGAGGTGTCGAATTGTTGATGAGTCCTTGGCATTTGGTGGTTCAGCGGTTGTAATAGTGGTTTGTGCACGCGAAGCACCTACACCTAGGGCCCTGAACAGCATGATTGTCAGGATTTGAAAAATTGGGACGTTGAAACCCGCAGCGTCGGCGTCAAAACGTGCAATCTCGAAACGCGCCAGCGCCTAGTCGATCTGTTCTCCCGCATGGACGCGAAAGTCAATGAGAACCACCCCTGGATTCAGCTGCCTTTTCACCTCCAAGATGCTCATAATTTAGTGCCGAGGAGGGACATTTATATAGGTGGCCCCATCGGTGCGGGGCGCCCACCGACGTCCAGTCCAAAGTTGATCACTGCTGGGGGGACTCATGGCAATGGTCCTTGCGAGACCTCCAAGGCCACGCTGTAGAGCAGCGGACTGCTGGGAGGGAGTCATAGCGCCTGTGGACACGTTGATCCAGGCATGTACCTCGCGAGCGAATTCGCGGCCGTCACTGGCAGGGTCCCAGTGGGGGCTGGTAGTGCGCGCGTCGTCAGCACCGCGTTGCACATGTCCGAGAGCACATCCGATGGAGACCCAGAGGAAGCCAAAGATAGCGATGCCAAACCAGTGGCCTCGTAGGTCGGTGTCCGTAGTAGGTGGATGTTGTTTGTAGGGATGACGTTGCCGTTAGTTCGCGAGAAAACACAGGCGGCACGATATCATAACGCATGTTACCATGCATGGTATCTTCGAAGAAATTGCCAAGTGGCGTTGGTGGGTGGACTTCAGGAGTGTAGTGGCGCAGAGATGTAGGGCTCAGGTAGGAGACCTCCGCATGAGCAGGGGCTTCAGTGCAAGTGTCCTTGGGATGGCCATGGTCGCCTCCGCGTAGAGCCACTGCGCCCTGATGGTCCACCATATCAGTAGTCCACCAGATATCGCCGTGGACAACGAGGAGTAGAGCTCGAGCTGACCACCAACGGCCAGCTCCGCTACGAAGTGTACAGCCAGTTGGGAGACCCAACCAGATACTACGCCTTAAGCGTAATATACGTCCAACCCTGCTGTATCGTATTAAAAATAGTGCCAAAGGTAGGAGATGGCCGCGTGAGCGGCGAGGGAACATCGCAAGAGTAAAGAGTGGAACCTTTTCTGTCTCGATGTCGGATAGCGGGCCGCGGTGCGACCTGGTCAAATTGGCGGCCAGTCGCTTGAACCCAAGCGGCCGCGGGCAAACGCTCGATACCTCTCGCTTTTGCCCTCCTTCAGAAGCGCCGATCTGCCGCCACTGCCTCCTGCAGTGCAACGTCAACTACCTGCCCCCGCCCCGCCACCAAATGGAGAACATGGATAGATGTGTTCCCTGTTGACGCTGCTGCTTGGCCCTCGAAGCCCATAGCGTGGCAGTCTGGGCGCACCCCTGGTCACGCCCTGGGCCCCTCGGCCAGGCCCTGCGCTGGCTTCCTCCGCGGACGGGCGCATTGGGCGCCCAACAATTTACCGAACTAGCTGCCGCGAGTCGATGATCCAGGCCAGCCGCGGGATCCAGCGTGAGGTTATCCTTCATGATGGTCTTGAGTTGCGCAGCAGCCTCCGCGGCATGACTAAAAAGGCGCACTGTTCGGTACCCGACTCGGACGAGCTTCGCCTGGACTTCTTGCGGGAAACCGCTTTCAGCCAGTAGGATGCTGATGTCTGCGTCCATCACTTCTGGAACCGCGTCTGTCGCAATGGGCTCGGTCAAGAGTGGCATGGCGCCACGCCGCAAGGCGCTCTCGTCCGAGTGCGCGCGAAGCGAAAAACTGCTTGATCGTGGCCAGCTAAGTTGACTACGGAGGCCCCGCACGTCTTCTGAAACCCTGGCCCTAGGCTGTCCTCCTGCGCTGCAGGCAAGTCTTGGCCAATCAGAAGTCATTAATTGGGCGATTCGCCCCAGAAGCTCATTCTATGGACGGATCGGCCATGAATGTCATTCCATGGGTGGATGGGCCCTCAAGTTAAAATCCGCCCACCCTGTCGGTGGAAGAAACTCTTCCATTCGTCGCTGTTTCACTCGTCGTCTCCTCATCGTCGTCGTCGCCGTCACCATTCCAAGCTTTCTCCTGGGTCTCCTTCTCCAACGCGCCAGCCGTTGCCTCTCTTACCCTGGGCCTTTCTCTTCGAGCGTGCTAGCCAAAACAACAATAACGAGCGTCGTAATACATTCGAAAAGAAGCCCCTTCCCTTGATCCCTTCCCCGCCGGGGGCGGGGTCCTGGGGGGGTCCCGGTGGGTGGTCCCAGGGGAGACCCGGCTGGGGTCCCAGGTCAGAATGCCATTTCCGTCGCCGTTCGTCCCTTGTCCTCGGCCCTCATCATTGTTCGAGCCCAAGAGCGCCCAAGAACGCTCCAACAGCGCTCCAAAAGCGCCCCAAGAGGCGATCTTTGGGACTCCCGCGGGGGGAACCCCCCTTCTTTGACTGATCTCCTACAAGATGGCCCCAAGAGCGCCCCTGAGGCTCCTAAAGAGCGCCCCAAGAGGGCCCCAAGAGGCGCCCAGACGGATCCAAGAGGTGCTCAACGTCCTCGTCGTCCTCGTCGTCGCCGTCTTCAGGGTCGGCGGCACTGGCCGTGAGGCCTTCGCAATTTCTGGTGTCACGGAAGATGGGTATGTTTCCGCAGATAGCTACACCCAACCGCTATGCCGGCGGCCCACGCGCTCCCAACTTCGCGCTTCGCGCTGCGCGAAGCGCGAAGCGCGAATAAATTCGCGCTCTCGCGCCGCCCTCCCAAAGGGAGAATAGGAGGACGAGGAGGAGGGGGAGAAGGACCGAGGACCGCGAAGCGCGAAGCGCGAATAACCTCGCGCCCTCGAGGGAGCCCTTCTACTGCTGTCGAGCAGGCGACGCCCGCCTCTGGAGGGGGAACGCCCGCGGCCACACCGACGGCAGAGCCTGCTCGAGTGGCCAAGAGCTGCGGTCGGTCGTCGCACAGTCAGCTCGCACAGGAAGGATGAGCAACTTTTCAAGGCTACCCTTGCATCCTCGCCCCTTCGGCCCATCCTCGGCGACTTTCGCTGGTCTCAGCCTCGTTCGACAACGCCAGCATGGCCCTCCAGGGCCCTTGCATCTTCACCGCGCATCCTCCTTGCACGACTCGACTGCACGGCAGGTTCGCACCGTGCCGACTTCGGCGCTGGTTCCTGACACCGCGGGCATCGTTCAACGTTGACCGATCGCCCGTTTCTGAAACGACCAATTCTTGACCGATCGCCCGTTGACCGATCGCCCGTTGACCGATCGCCTCCTCCTCCTCCTCCTCCTCCTCCTCCTCCTCCTCCTCCTCCTCCTCCTCCTCCTCCTCCTCCTCCTCCTCCTCCTCCTCCTCCTCCTCCTCCTCCTCCTCCTCCTCCTTCGTTCAACACCGACCGACTCTGGGTCGCCGGCGGCGTTCCACGCTGCACGCCGGCGGCGGGGTCTCCGCCGGTCGACGCGACGCGAGCCCACCGCACACAGTCTTTCCTTCCCCATGTCCCGAGGCCGCCCCCCCAAAATTCAGGGGGACGTAAGACCTGGGTACAGGGGACTCGGAAATCCCCGACGAGGTCGTCAAAAAGATGACGAGGCCGAGCCTGCATTTTGACGAGGCCTCCCGCTGCAGACGTCCCACGAAACTCCTCCTCGTCAAAATCCGAGGCGCGGTCGTCAAAAAACGATGGCGAACCCGAGTCCTGGCAAACCCGGGTCTTACGCTCCCCCGACAAATGGGGCTGGAGCAGCTGGGGGCGCAGGGCCGCGCCGCAGCGCCGCTGCCGGCGTGGAGAAGACCCGGCTCCACGCCGAGCCGCACCGCCGATGCCTCGGCGGTGCGGGTGCATCGGCGGTGCGGCCCGATCCCCCCCCCGACCCCACCCGATGGGGCCCCCGTCGGGAGGCCCGGAGCGCTTCGGCCCTGGCGGTCCCCGCCTGGGAGCTCCCCGGCCGCGAGGGCTCGGGCAACCTCGGGGCCTCGGCGGCGCGCACGAGGGGCCGCATGCGCGAGGGCGGCGGCCCGTCCGAGAGGGCGGGGGGGGCCTCGCGGCGGGGCCCGCGGGGGCTTCCGGGATGGCCTCGTGGAGGCGGGCAGGGCCCCTCCTCCTCCTCCTTCTCCTCCTCCTCCTCCTCCTCCTCCTCCTCCTCCTCCTCCTCCTCCTCCAAGGGGGCGGCGACGTCTAAACCCACAGATCCGACGCTCCCAAAAAAGTGGAGCGGCTGGTTTGGGAGCCGTGTTTGACCTCTGGGAGCCCTCGCCAGACCCCAGGAGCGTCAAAAACATATCAAGGCGAAAAGCCAGCCCTGGGGAAGTGGTCTGGACCTCTGGGGCTCACGCATCGAAAAAATGTGAGCAGCCAGATGTCTGGGTACGTATCCACTGCTCCCTGGCCAGGCCCATCCTGAACCCAGAGAGATGCAACGTCGTGGAAAAAACGGGTCAGAGGTGACTCGTCATGCTCGGCCCCTGCGAGGGGGCCTTCACTTGCCCTCGGGACCTTCAGAAAACGACTCGGGATGAAGAGCTGGCCCTGGGAAAGAGCCCGAACGTCGCACGTCTTGGGTGGAGGGCCTCCAAGAGCCCTCCCCCCCCGCCGTCGTAGAACGCCGCCCCCCCGTGCGCCACCTGGCCGCCCAGCCCCGACACTCGTCGACATGGCTTTTGTCAATCCGCGGCCCCATGGAGGCCCCGACGCGCTCCCAGGGGGAGGCTTCTCGCCCCGGGATCCGTTGTTGTTGATGGCCCCAGGGCCCGAGAGCGACCAAGCGTCCAGGCTGACCAAAACCATGCCGCCAGAGCTCCAGGACCGCGCGCCGCCCAGGTGAACCTGCAGCAGGCCCACGTCGTCCTCGTCGCACGAGCCCGCGCGCCCCCCGTGCCTCCCCGGGGCGCCGCTGCGCGCCGCCTCCTGGCCGCCGCCGCGGGCCTGGGTAGCCTCAGGCGGCCCCCGACTGCCCCCGGCGATCGCTCGATCCCGCGCCCGAGGGGGGAGACTCCCGCCCCAGCGACCCGCCTCCCCCGAGACCTCTTCGGGTCGTGAACAAATCATGACGAGGGGTTTTTGTTGTCAGTTTTCGGCCAGAGGCAAGGAGCGGAAAAAACACACACAAGCTTGAGTAGCTGAACCTTTTTCAGTGACCCCTCGGTTGGCCCCATCCCAAGACTGCTAGATCCGAAGAGCATCGCCTGGTTCACCGACGCCTCGGTGGGCCCAGGGACCGCTGGGATACAAAAGAGGTCCCCGAGAATGGGTCGAGAACTCTCGGGGTCGACGTGTTACTGTCTCGAGAAACTCAAGGCGGAGGTTCTTCCCCGTTCTCGGCCTGCCCTGAGACCCGATGCTGCGGGAAAAGTGCAACATCGCGAAAACTCACGAACGGACCCATAGACCCCACATTTATGCGCCATACTTTCCGAGCCAGGTCGATCCGTGGCGCCCAGGGCCCGAGACCCGGCGAACTCGCCCGGCGTGAAACAAAAACTGCAGCGCCCCGATCTCCAGGCTCGAGGGGCCATCGCCGGCAAAACGGAGAAGAGGACCCCAGAGAAAGGGTCGGGACTTCGGGCGGCCGCGCAGTGACAAAATCGAGGCGTCGCGCGCCTGGGAGGGCAGGGTCGCGCTCCTGCGCCTGCTGCCCAGGCTTCGGCCACTGGGCGTGGTCGTGATGCGGCCCCGGGCGCACTGCTGGGTCACTTCAGACCCAGCTGGCCTAAAGTTGGGCCTGTCCCCCTACAGGGGGATTTTGGACGAAAAATGAAAATTATCCCAGTGCGACCCTACCTAGGAGCTGGAGCCTCTAGGGAAGCAACGTTAGTAGGAGCGGTAAACGCCGTCCTCCTCCTTCTCCTCATCGTCGTAGTTGTAGCAGTAGTAGTAGTAGTAGTAGTAGTAGTAGTAGTAGTAGTAGTAGTAGTAGTAGTAGTAGTAGTAGTAGTAGTAGTAGTAGTAGTAGTAGTAGTAGTAGTAGTAGTAGTAGTAGTAGTAGTAGTAGTAGTAGTAGTAGTAGTAGTAGTAGTAGTAGTAGTAGTAGTAGTAGTAGTAGTAGTAGTAGTAGTAGTAGTAGTAGTAGTAGTAGTAGTAGTAGTAGTAGTAGTAGTAGTAGTAGTAGTAGTAGTAGTAGTAGTAGTAGTAGTAGTAGTAGTAGTAGTAGTAGTAGTAGTAGTAGTAGTAGTAGTAGTGTAGTAGTAGTAGTAGTAGTAGTAGTAGTAGTAGTAGTAGTAGTGGTAGTGGTAGTAGTGGTAGTAGGTAGTGGTAGTAGGTAGTAGGTAGTGGTAGTGGTAGTGGTAGTGGTAGTAGTAGTAGTAGTAGTAGTAGTAGTAGTAGTAGTAGTAGTAGTAGTAGTAGTAGTAGTAGTAGTAGTAGTAGTAGTAGTAGTAGTAGTAGTAGTAGTAGTAGTAGTAGTGTAGTAGTAGTAGTAGTAGTAGTAGTAGTAGTAGTAGTAGTAGTAGTAGTAGTAGTAGTAGTAGTAGTAGTAGTAGTAGTAGTAGTAGTCAGTAGTAGTAGTAGTAGTAGTAGTAGTAGTAGTAGTAGTAGTAGTAGTAGTAGTAGTAGTAGTAGTAGTAGTAGTAGTAGTAGTAGTAGTAGTAGCAGTAGTAGTAGTAGTAGTAGTAGTAGTAGTAGTAGTAGTAGTAGTAGTAGTAGTAGTAGTAGTAGTAGTAGTAGTAGTAGTAGTAGTAGTAGTAGTAGTAGTAGTAGTAGTAGTAGTAGTAGTAGTAGTAGTAGTAGTAGTAGTAGTAGTAGTAGTAGTAGTAGTAGTAGTAGTAGTAGTAGTAGTAGTAGTAGTAGTAGTAGTAGTAGTAGTAGTAGTAGTAGTAGTAGTAGTAGTAGTAGTAGTAGTAGTAGTAGTAGTAGTAGTAGTAGTAGTAGCGCCAGAACCGCCGACGCCACGCCGTAAGTGAAGCAGCAGCAGAAGCAGGCAGCAAGTCGCCGAGACAGCAGCAAAAGCAAGCAGGCACGGAGATGAGGGCGGGGCACTGGGGAGTTCTTTACATCTACATCTATATCTACACCTACATCTACATCGACACCTACATCTACATCTAGACATACATCTACATCTACATCTACACCTACAGCTACATCTACATCTACACCTGCATCGACTTCTACATCTATATCATCAGCGAGACTCACATCTACTCTACATCTACATCTACACCTACATCTACAACTACATCTATGCTATGATATGCTATGCTATGCTATGCTATGCTATGCTATGCTGCGCAATGCTATGCTGGGCTAGTCTAGGTTAGGCTATGCTATGCTATGCTATGCTATGCTGCGCTATGCTATGTTGCGCTATGCTATGCTATGCCATTCTATGCCATGCTATGCTATGCTTTTGCTTTGCCTTCGTGTTTGCCTTCACTCTTGCCTTTGCTTTTGCTTTTGCTTGGCACCCAGGGAGCGCAACTGGGGGAACCGCGCGTTTGCTTTTACCTTTGCTGTTGCTTTGCTTGGGTCCCAGGGGACTGGGGGAACCGCCCGGAGCGATTTCCACTGCCCACCCCTTTAAGCAAAGCGAGTAAGAACCCTTCTAGGCAGAGCCTGGGTAGGGAAAAGTTGACAAAGAATACCCCAAAATGGCCAAAAAATACTCAAACATCATCCCCAGACCATTCTTTTACTATTTTCGAATGTCCCTCCTGTAGAGGGACGCGCCCGACTTCAGGCTGGCCGCCCCCGGCGCGCTCATCCTGAAATTCTTTCGCGGTGAACGCCCTCCTCCCCCTCCTGTCCTCCGCGGCCGCTCCTCCCCGCCATGTTCCTCTTGCATCCGGCCCACCGATCTGCCGAGCGCCCCCGACAGCTCGAGCGCCCGAGCGGATTGCCTTCCACGCGCCGCCACGAGCACAGTCCGGGAGGGCAGGACAGGGAGGGCCACCGCGAAGGGGAGGCTCGGACGGGATGGAGTGACAGGGCGGCCCTGGCGTCCGAGGCCGAGGCGTCCGAGGCGTCAAGACCCACCGGTCGTTAGAACTAGGTGATTTCGGACCCCCGGACTCCAGTCTACCTTGGACGACTTCCTGCGTCAGTCATCGAGTGGTCTCCCCTCTTCATTACTGTTTAGGCGGCGAGCGGGAACCCAAACCTTGGCGGCGAGCCCGGGGGAGAAGCGAGAACGGGCAGGCCTCCTCAAAAGGCTCGAAGCCCCCTGGCATTCCGAGAAGTTCGCTAAGCCTTCCCCGAAGCCACCAAGAATCTCTCGGAGGGCGCGAGGGCTTCCGAGAAGTCCCGCCACCTTCCGAGAACGCCCTCTCCTCCTCCTCACTTCTCCCACCCCCCCCCCGCTCGCCGACCAAAGCCCCGCCGCCAGGGCTCTGGGAGTGCGCGCCGCCTGGGTCAGCCTGCAGCAGGCCCACGCCGTCCTCGTCGCACGAGCCCTCGTCGTCGTCCTCGTCACTTCCCCGCCGACGCTGCGCTTCTATGCCCACCTCTTCCGACCGATGGGCACGGGCTCCCCGGAGGCCTGGACCCTCTCCCCAGGGCCGGCTCGCCGCCCCGAGCCCCTTGCGGATGGCCCCGCGTGGCCGGCGAGAGGGCCCCACAGACTTTGAGATCCGGGCGCGCTGCCAGTTTTGTTCACGCCAGGCGAGATGGCTCGGCGGCGAGCGAAGGGGCGGGCCTTCCCAGAAGTCTCGGAAATTCTTGGGCCTCCTGAGAGGCTGTCTAAGCCTTCCCGGAGGACACACAAAACTGCTCCCAGAGCAGGCCTCCTCCTTCTCACTTCCCCCCCTCGCTCGCCGCCGAATTTGGCCAGGCTTCGGGCCACGGGCGCGCCGTCAAATATCGGGGTCCCCAGAAGTCCCCACGGTTTCACCGGGGCCGGCTTTTCATCCTGAATGGTTTTCTGACGGTCATGGGGCCCAATAAGGGCCCCAAAGGCCGACAATGAGGAGAAGCCTCCGTGCTGACTTTCCCCAATTATCCTCTGTCTTGGCTTCTCGTTTTGAATAGAGCACTGCAATTTCCACCTCTTTCCTCCCGCCTCCTCCTGCCTCCTCCTGTGCTGCTCTTGGGTGGTCGCGAACTGCGCAACTGTGGTCACTTTCGTGGGCTCCTGGGAAGCACGGCGGGGTAGGGGAATGCGCGCATCCAGCCGAGACCTCGCGGCTCCCTGAGCGGCTGCGACCGGCGCAACTGTCGCCTCTTTCGCAGGTTCGTGGGAGGCACTGCTGAGTAGGGGAGTACGCACACCCAGCCGAGACCTCGCCGCTCCTGGGGCGGCTGCGAACTGAGCGACCGTCGCCACTCTCGTGGGCTCCTGGGCAGCACGGCGAAAGTAGGGGAGCACGCGCATCCAGCGGAGACCTTGCGGCTCCCTGGGCGGCTACGAACTGCGCAACTGTCGCCACTTTCCGTGGGCTCCTGGGAGGTCCAGCAGAATGGAGCTGTACGCGCATCCAGCTGAGACCTCGCGGTTTCCTGGGAGGCTGCGAACTGCGCAACTGCCGCCACATTCATGGGTTCCTGGGAGGCACGGCGGAGTGGGGGAGTGCGCACACCCAGCCGAGACCTCGCAGCTCCCTGGGTCGATGCGAGCTGCGCAACTGTCACCACTCTCGTGGGTTTGTGGGAGGCACGGCGGAGCAGGGGAATACTGGCGCCCAGCCGAGACCTCGCAGCTCTATGGAGGACTGCTAACTGCGCAACTATCGCAAGTTTCGTGGGCTCCTGGGAGGTTTAGCGGAGAGGAGGTCCATGCGCACCCGACCGAGATCTGGCGGCTCCCTGGGTGGCTGCGAACTGCGCGACCGTCGCCACGTTCGTGGGCTCCTGGGAGGTCCAGCCGAATCGAGGGCCACGCGGACCCACTTGGTACCACGGTGTCCCCTAGGTAGCTGGAAGTGCGCAACTGTCACCACTGTCGTGGGCTCCTGGCAGGTCCAGCGGGGTCGGGGGCCACGCGCACCTAATCCCACCAGCCCTTT